TTTTGCATCTGCTTGTGTGCTATAGTGTCCCTCCATTCTCTTCGCACTTGCTGGTAGAGTGGACTATAGTACAATTGTCTTACTAGATCCTGATCTCGTGATATGCTGTGTCTTGTTGTGCTGCTCACTCCTCCTGTTGATGTTAATGATTGATCTGATAGGATACTGATTTGATGCTGGTGGGTAGATGATGATGAATTTAGTCTTGGGGTCGATGTCAGTTTTTGTGGTCTTGATTGCTCTGATATTGATGCCATTGTCGTTCTTGATTGAAGTGATGGCGGAGGAGGTGATTGTCTTTTCCTTCTCTTTCTCTTAGTTTTAATGTTGGCCTTTGCTTTAACTACTATGTGCTCTGCAAATTTATCAGGTTCTAAAATAATAATAATAATAATTTTATTCACTACTCTATGAAATCCCATTATCACACTTGTAAAACTTACCCTTTTCCAAACACAAACGATATCTTCCCGCCTGAATTGGCGCGGCGAGCTCGCCCCCGCTACTCTCGCCAGCCCCTCCTTCTTTCTGCTGTTTTGCTGCTGTGGACGACTTCATTTTGACTTGCCTAACAATATACTGAAGTCTCCTTTTCTCTAAAAACTCAAAGACCTGTTTCTGTCCAGTAGATGCTAGTGTTTTTGATGTCGATGAAGAGAGAAAAGGCGCTCTTGACACAATGGGTGATAATGAAAACCTCACACAAGACTCCATTGTGTACCAGTAACTATGACAACAGCATATCAATCACGTGCCCTGTACAATGTAATAATAATTAACGTGGGATTAGTTTATCATGTGCAGTAGTGATAATGATCATGATGCTGTAAAAGCTTCTGTCCTGTCAATTCCAGTCATGCCAACACCATTGTGAGAGGTCAGCATGGTTCCAATTTGTCATTTGATTAATAAGGTGACAGACTGAGGGGAATACCTTTATGACCTTGTATAGTCAATTTAGTCAAATAATGTGCGGGAAATGAAGGTCGTGCATGCTATTCTACACTAAGCTAAACTCAGGATATGTCTAACATTCCTAAGATAATATGTTAGTGATGCAATGTTGGAATTTCCTGCAGTGTCATGCTGTGTCATTCTTGCTATTAGACTAATAGAATCTGATTTTTCTTCTATTCCTCCGCTTTCTAGTTAACGTTGCCTGATGGATTGAAAGCTGACAAAACTGACCATGAAGTAAGTTTAAGATGTGTTTATTCTGCTCCCATTAAAACTCATAAGCTAGATTAACTGCATGCAGGCTTCTAATTCTATTAGAAAAGTTGTAGATTTTAATATAGTAATTATAGCTATAAGCTTTAACTTCTTATTCCTTGAAGGAGAATAGTTTTATTAATCTTTTCATAAGATTTTTTAACTGCCTAAACTTACTTCTCAAAGCTACAATAGTAAAGCTAGTATGCACACCGTACTATCATAGCTATACAGGATGTATTAATTGTATTCATTGCATAGAATTTGTATAAAAAAGGCTGCTTTGTTCTGTAGTATAGCATTTGTCAAAAGTAAGTGCTAGACTGCTAGTGATATGAAATGTATTCCTCTTTCCATGTAGACTAGACAAGAGTATATACATAGAGTATGGCTGAATTTGCAGTAAAATGTTGCCTTTTTCTATTTCTTAGTATAGCTACTGGAATATGCATGGGAGGCAGTAAGTCTCTGTAATATAGCCTTTCTTCTAAATTATCTTATTTTTCTCTTCAGAAAATGTTGATGTCCACAAGCAAGGAGGAACAGGGCAGAGAGCACAATTCCAGTGCTCATCTTTTTCTAGTGTCTGGTCTTATACAAATAATAATGGAGGGAATAAGTACTCAGCAGGTGTTTTGACTAATGGAGATATAATGAGTATTCAAACAGTCGTAGCACAGCATGAAGGGGTTTATCAGTGCAGCTATGGTAATGGCGGCATTGATACTTTTAATCTCATTGTAATGGGTAAGTTCCTATTTGCACACATGCAGTATCGCATTATCCCATTCTCTTTTCATCTGCAGCTGTGCCCAAGTTCAAAGGCTGTTCACCTGTGAAGAATTGTAACCTTAGAACAACTACTACAGTCTCAGAAGGAGACCAAATACCACTCAACATATCAATGGACTATGTCAATGGAGGACCAAGTGGCAAAAAGCAAGAAATTGCATTTGGCCGGCTAAAAAAGGGCTCCACATCACTTCTGAGCTGTTCCAAAACTGGCTGCTACAAAATTGGTCGGGCATCTTACACGCGTAGTAGCTCTGACCCATGG